ATGCAGGATAAATACCTGGATTGGTTGGAGAGAAATGATTGGACTCAATCAAAGTTGAGGAAAACACGGTAAATGAGAAGCAGCCTTAGTTAAAACCAGCTTTGTTACTGCTTACTGGTTGGGACAATGTCGTGCGTTCTTCATGTGTTCACAGCATTTCTCAGGAGACCTTTGGTGGGCTTAGGTGTCCCGTCTATCTGTACCTTGACACATGCTCCTGGTTTGTTGATCTCTACCTAGGACATATCTCACATGGCACTGCTTGGTGCCAAATAACCTTTATCTGTAGAATATGTCTGTGTCCTTTGTTGTCTCTTAATCCCACCATTGTTACTCATCACATTGTGGGAATCCTGTCAGCTACTGTGTGTGGGAACATGATTCATTAATACCAACAGAGCCCACACTGGTATATGCTCAGCTTTGGCTGTGCCTTGCTGAAGGCTGTCCTGGTCAGGGCTTGTGCCTGAACTAGTCAGCAAGGACCCAGCAAAGACCTTGCTGGCTGTGCTCACACCACACCGAGTTCTGGCCGTGACTGCAAACTAGCAGCTGACTTGCACATTTAGGTCTAGGCACATTTAGGACCTGCCACCCACATTTGAGCTTTTAGGGTAAAATCTAGAGAGATGGTGACCAAATACATCACCGTGTGCTCCAGGGATCAGCAGGCATTTGAGGCTTCCAATACCATCAGCTTTTCAGAGCAGTTACATGCTCTGCCCATGGCAGCAGGCACTGCAATGCCTCTAAAAAGGGATGCAGAAAGAGCTACCATGGAGGTCAGTGGTTTTGCTGACCAGTGCATGCTAGAAACTGATCCCTGGTTCAGGCTGACTTTTCTGCAGAGTCGAAGGGCACCCATCAAAGCTGGTCTTAACCTTTGGGACTCTGGTTAGCAGATAGAGCCTGGGTCCTTTCTCTCCCTTACACACTGGATTAGTTGGATTTGTCAGTTCACTTTGCCTAGTGCAAGCCTCAGGCCTCTTCCCCCTTATCCTGCCTGCTGCTGGGTTGAGGTTTTAGGCCAAGTCCCCTGCTTGCACCCCCAGACTCTGCAAAGGGCTGGGGGCTCTGAGGGGAGCCGCTCTTGGTGCCCTCCGCGGGCAGTGTTTGTGCAGTGCCTTGCCAAGAGATGTCTGCAAAGCTTTACAGTGTTGCACCATTTCTGCAGCAGGAGGGATATGCCCTTCATATTATAGCCTTCTCTTGATGTTTTCCTGGCTTACTTCATGCTTGTTCCTATTCCCAAGCATTTCTCTGGTTTAGCCACAAGGTGCCATCAGTAGACACTTCTACACCAGTACTACATCTGCTGGAAATAGAGAAAGCCAGGCAAAAAGTCCCTGATGTTATGTAGAGGGAAAGGCTAATTAATGAGCAGGAGATCCAAATATAAGGCAAAATGTGCCTAGGAAGGGTGGGTTGAACTGTGTGCACCTTGCATGTTTTTTGCTGTTGCACTGACAACCTAACCAGCTCAGATTTTTTTTTTTTTTTTTTTTTTTTTTTTTTTTTTTTAATGACATCAAGCAGTGTCTGTGAAGCCTTGTGTCCTATTATGTTTGCTGCTGTGAGAGGACAAATCAGAAGGTGTGGTCCCTGCCTCTTGAGTGCTTCCCATCTGATCTGAGGGAGGAAGTACATCAGGGGCAAATATTTGGAAAATGGAGAGTGAGAATAAAAGTTATAGGAAGAGTGGGTTTTTCTGGAGCATGTCTGTGATTCTGAAAGAGTATTTCCTGCTGACCTTTTGTCTGCCACCTACCTGATGGCTATTTCACATAGGCAGATCTGGAGGAGAGATCTGACAAAGCAGGTAACAGTGAATTTACTGAACAATTCTGGAAGGCGTCATGCTTGAAGAACAGCAAACAGGAAAGGAAGCCCAGGACACACTTGTAAGATCAGCAGAAGATCTGGCAGAGACAGGTGATGTTTACAGAGCAGTACAAACCCAAAGTATTTTCAAGAATGTGATGCATCTGCAGAGTGAGCAGTTATTTTCTTACAGGCAAATCGTGATGTAGGTCCTGGAAAAGCAGTTTATACTCACTGGGAAAGCAGAGGACACTAAAAGATTTTCCCAGCAAGCACCATTATATTTTTGCGGGGCGGCAACATGGGTGATAGGTGCAGATCCCCACTAGTCTGGAAAGGAACAACCAGGATGCAAGTAGGTAACAGTGCACATGGAGGAAGTCAGGAGGATAACAATGACTTTGGAAGAGGTACCGTACACAAAAGCAGAACACCAGTGCTACAGCAATGAGGTGAATGGGAAAGCTTGGGAGAAATATGGGGTTATGACTGGAAGTGAGGCATGTCTTGCCTTCTTGGATGTGAGGAACTTCTTCCTAATTGCATTTCTGACTGCCTCCGATACAGCAGAGTTTGTTTGCTGAGTTTCCTTTTTGGCTCCTTACAAATTGACCTATTTGCTTTACTGTGTGTGGTTTTAATTTTCCTTTGCAAAATATCCGTACTTTGGGCTCATTTGGTAAATTAATATTAGTGTTTCAATAAGGCTGCTATCAGTCCTTATTTTACACTAAATCTTTCCTACAGGTTTTTCTTTTTCCCTCCTCCTCCCTATGACTAATAGATATAATTTCAACAGTTTGACTAACTGCCGTGTTATAGAAAAGGCAGTAATTTATACTGATGTAATGGCTGTGATAAAAATCATTTGTGTGCTGATTTTATAAATTAGGTAGGAAATGTGAGTGCCTCTGAAAAATGAAGTGCTACCACATGAATTCCAGTGTTGTTAATGCTTCATACCTTTCTGCTTCATTAAACCAATTTCACGGGGAGATGAGTTAGAGGAGGAAGCTGTGCTGCTTAAGAGACGCAACAATGGTTTATTGAAAGAAATGGGGATAAGATTAAATTAAGTGCTACTTGAGAAATATGGAAATACAAAAATATTCAAGCTTATAGATGGTGAATTCAAAAATATGATAAGTTAGCTCTTTCATACCCAAAGAACTGTCTCATCATAATTGCATAGGCTGAATTCACAGGCTACTAATTAATATTGAAGAGTTTCTTGAACCACTCTTATAAATGAGTCAGAGTGCCCTAGAACTAATTTATAACTATTTCCTTTTGGAAATCAAGACAACTTAAAATGCTGCTTTCAGTACATTCCTATCTTGGCTGCTAAATCCTTTGAAATTATTTCTGCCATATATTTTTAATTTATTTATTATTTCACATATTTCATTTATCAGCCAAATTTAAAGTGAGGAATAAAAAAGGCACAAGATTAAGAAGCCTTCAGGTCTGGTAAAATCCTTCTAATTTAGGATAATGATCCAGAGCAGCCTAAAATAACTTTTCTGCCCACTTTCAATCTGAATTCAGCTGCACTGAAACCAATATGTTTCAGTTACATTTATATTGGGTTTTTTTTTTTCTGTCTGAAGCCGTGGAATATGTAACTTCAGGAAAAAAACATTTACGTCCACCGAATGCCTTGAAGATCAGGTAAGATCTAAAACTAAGAGGCTAATTGATTTTTTACCACTTCCATAAAACAGCTGCAACTATTTTTTCCCTTTCCCTTCTCTCCCTTGAGTACTAGAAGTTTTCATTCTCAAACGACTAAACCCTATTTGTTCTGTGGATGGTGGAACATGTAAATACAAAGGGAGTCATTCATTAAATAAGAGGCTTATGCATACACAAGTTTTAAAAAATGCATAGTTTCAAAGCACAACTGAGAGGCTGCCATTTTACCCCTGATTCACAATGAAAACTCTGTGTACAAGTGACCCAAGTACTGGGATTTGGTCCAGCTCTCAGATTAGCACAGAAAACACGTAGAGACATGGACGTCCCCCATCCCCCTCCCACTAATGATAATGGGAGCTCAAAATGTGCTCATCGGGAATGTGTGTAGGATCTTATTGACAGAAGCATACGCATCACTACCTGCTGCTTGGAGAGACCACATTTCTTCTCACGTATGATGGGTGCATCACCTAACATTAGCACTATTGCACCATTGACACTTGCTATCCATATGCTTTCATTTAAAATAAATCACTCTATGAAATAGGATAATGTGCCAGACAGCTTTAAGGTTGGATCTTGCCAAGTGCTCTCAGTTCCCAATGAGAAGTAATCAGAGCTGAGGATGCTTAGCCCTTCTCTGGATCAATTCTAGTAGCAAGTTTGTAATATTACAGTGCAGCTCATTTCAATACTGGCAAGGATCTTCCTGACAAAGTGCTGGGCACCGTCCAGTCCCAGTGCTGCTGGAGGACTTCAGCGGGATTTGGCAGCTTATGCGATTGGTCTGTAAAATGTAATTCGGGATTCAACTGATATGCAAGTGCAGTGCATAGGATTTATATCTTTCTTTCTTCCTTTCTTAAAAATCTGTTTGTTAAGGAAAGATGGAGGAAATAGAATAGGAATAAAACCTAAATTTGTGCTAGTGGAAAAATTCTAGGAGTCCGAAACCTTTGTCACCATGTAAAAGAAAAAATAAAAATCTTGGACTTTGTGAGCAGCAGGATTCTCTAAAAATACACATTTGCTTTTACCTTATAGAAATAACACATTTCAACAATTTTCCAGAAAAACAAAAGGAACCTGTATAACCCCATTAAGATTTTTACTACAGATGTATCAATTTCCATGGAAAAAGTGTGCTTTGAACTAGCCATAGTTACAGAGGACCCATATGACTTATCCTTTGAATTACTCATTCTGTGATCTTCTCCCTCCTAACTGAACCAGAATATTTTTCATTATACTGCAGAGATACCTGGATATTTTCTGTGCAATTTGGTGGGTTTTCAGAGGTTTGAGAATCACATTTCTTCCTCTGGGTAAGTTTGTGCATGCCCATTTGGCAGACAATCACTCCTTTCTCATTCCCTGTTTATGCGTTCAGAACAGAGCTGAGACTCGCACTGGTCTCGGTGTGAATTATGCCTTTGCGTGCTGTTACTGGGGGTGTTTGCAGTCCCCTAGTTTGGCAGGGCTCACACCTGCCTTTTTTCCTCCCACTGGGCTCCTCTTAGTACCAGTGGGGAGCTCTGCTTGGTCCTGGGAGAACTCAGTATGTTACAGGTCTGAGTTTATTTTTAAGATTATGATTTCTTTCTCTCTTTGACCATGCATTCTATTTTATCCTTCTTTCTCTTTAGATTTTTTTTTCCTTTTTTTTGTCTCATTCTTACTCTTTCCCTTCCTGTTTACTTTTTCATCTCTGCTACTCTGTCTTTTACACTGCACTGTGTCAAGTGAATGTAGCTTGTTTGGAGTTCAGGAATATAAATGCTTGCCACTTTCCCTTTGCTCTGCTCCAGGCATGTGTAAAGCAGCAGATAAATGTTGACAGCATTTTGTCTTTGTACATGTTGGGCTTACTGCAAGCATTGAGTGCAAATTGCAGAATAAATTCACATGCTGAATACTGGAGAAGAATTACATCAAAGATCTAATAATGAGTAACTGAAGCTGCCCACAGTTACTAAAGCATTTATCTTAGTGAGACACTTATAAAAGGTAAACATATCTATGAAAAGGAACTGCACAATTTGCCCTCGTGGAGTCTTGAACTCTATCCTTTTTTTTGTATCGATACACATTTTGAATCAGTCCATTAGAAGAAAATGAAAAGTAGAGTTTGTTTTACAGTGGCCACAAGATTTTGGCACATTACCAGATATTTCACTCTTTTAAACCCTGAGTTAGTTGTGCAAGGAAGACAGTCTCACTTCCTAGCATTTTTCCTGCTCCCAGTTATATTATTACCTGCTTTAATTTGGCGACTTTCTAGAGTGCAAATTCTGTATGGAAGAATTGCATATCAGCTATTGTTAGAAACTACATATAGGTCTGTGGGCCAACTTTGCTGTGGAAATGTAATTAGTTTATATTAGAAACATTTTGGGGTTACTTCTGTATTTTAGATAATCTGTATTAATTTTAGATTTAGTGGTGTGAGTAACTAGGTGCAGAAGTAGAGCTTTGTAAAGAAACATGACATTTCCAGGATTTGAGGGTCTTTTAGAGTAAAAATGAGATTGTTGTATATCTTAAAGGTGTACTGACAGAGAAAAAACATGCTAAATTGAAGATTAGTCTTCTTTTAAAGGCAGACTTTGAGAAAATGAGCAGTTCTTGAGAGGTAAACACACTCTGTACAAGTGTTCTAGACAATACCTGCGTTACTAGACCTGGCTTCAGCTGCGCAGACTGAGTCAGCCTGCCACAACTCTTCCTGCTTGTGCTCCCAAGTCTCCTTCCTGTTGGAACCATGGCTTGGTAGGGGAAGGGACTACAGTATCTTTTATCTTGCTCCAACTTGGTGGTTCTCTCTCCTTTCCAATTTCTCTCAGCTCTGCCAAGTGAACAGTTTTTGTAAAGGTGTAAGACCCAAAGTTCTGCTCCCTTACTCCCCACTAAGCAGGTAGCAGCTTATCGCTATCATATGAATGATTTCCTATCCTCAGAACTATGAATGCTAAGCAGGAGGGATTGGTTTGTTTTGCACAGTGAAAATATGACGGTTTGGTATGTTCAGACCATGAAAAATCTGGACACAATGAAGTGCTTTACTGGCTCATCTCTAGGTGAGTCTCATGCACATCTCTTGCAGAGTTATGAAATGAAACTCTCCAGAGTGCAAAACAAAAGTTTGAATAGTTCTGTGGCACTGCTCATCGGCTGGCAAAACATCATCTGCTTATTGAAGCTGGATGCTTCTTGCTGTACACGGCACTTTCTGGAATGTTTTATTCACTCACTGAGCATTTTGAGCTTTGGAAGTGACTCATGAGCACAAATCCCAGTACATTTAGCCTTTTTTTACTTTAGATTACGTGTTTCCAACATCAAACATTTGTTGAATTTTCCTATCGGGATAGAAATCTCTAAATGTGTAGATTCAGTGCCATCATCAGAACAGACTGGTAAAAAAGTCCTCTGTCTGCTATCAGAATGTGCTAAATTCCTTTATTTTGCTATTCCTCCCTGAGATGCAAGTTCAGATTTTTGAAAGCAACTCCTAAAGTTTTTCACTTTGTTTGACTTCACAGCCAAGATACTGGGTAGAAACTACAGGGCTGTTAGTGCAGCTCTCCCCTTTAATGAAGTTGAGCAGAACTTGTCTGCATCCAGCTTTGGTTCCTCACTCACCAACCCTGTGCTTACTAGGCTGATGATGATGCTGGTAAAGTAGATAGATTGTTTACCTCACCAAAGTCTTACTAGGTTTCAATTATTTTTAAACAATAGTGACAATACTTAGCAGAAATGCTAAATAACGTGTGGAACATTCATAACAAGGAGCTATTGTGATATCTCAAGTAGAAAAGAAGGCAAAACATGTATACAGAAGGGGACAATGGTCAATACCATTTGAAGGTAGTAAGACTCCCCCATTAACTCCCACAGCCATGGCCCTGGGTTTTTCTACCCTTTCTTAATGTTGCCATCAGTTTTTCTATTATATTATTGACCTGCAAGATGTCAAGAGTGGACAAATTATAAATGCTGCTGTCATAAATGTGTATGACTCCAGGAAAGTGAGAGGAAAACTCGCAGTGCAGTAGGACTCTTCAACTTGTAAGTGAGCAGAACTGGCCCCAATAAATAAGCCCAGTTAAGAGCATAAAAGGCAATGTTCCTGTACAGGATATTTTGCAAGAGATTGCTGCTCTTTGCCTGTAGAAGTGACACTTTTCACTTTTTGTGAAGGTGGTGGTCTTATTTTCTCTAAGTGTACCATAGAAAAAAATCATTACATACAACAGTAATGACTTGTCCTGACTTTATTCCTGTGTTCCCACTCTGGTAATGCTGTGAGGAGAAATACTGCACTTGAATGTCATGCAGTTTGTGACTTAACAGTGTGAGGCATCTTTCTGTCATGACCAAGTATGTTCTAATGCCCGAAAAACATTTGCATGCAATAATGGATTTTGAATCCTGTGTTGAAACAATCAGAAAAAGTAGTTTAAGTTATTTTTAACATCTAGCTTGTCTGTCTGTTGTGGAATTCTTTTTAACGATTTTCTAAACCAAGTTGTAGCCCATGTAGTCTACTATATAGACCCTCAAAATGAGGTGCTTATATCAGAAACAGTGCCAAAATATGACATCAGGAAGGTGTTGCTATAATTAATGTTTTTGCTGAGAAAGAGGGGAAAGCACTCTTAGGTTTCTTCTTCCTTTTATGGATAAGAAATATAATAATATATTACCTCATGATAGCATGATTCCAATGCAAATGGCAGAGACTGGTGGCTTATTAATAGGCCTTGCCTGTAGCAAGCCTCCTTTCCCCGCTTCAGTTTGAAATTGATTATTTTAATACAGAATTCCTGAATGAAAGAGGTTCTTGGCCTTTTCCTGGGCTGTTGAATAATGTATGTGGGAGAAAGCAAATAGAAGCAGAGGGTCTCAGCTGCCGGAACAATGGGCTGTGCACAGAGCTGAGGGGGCACATTAGTTTATCATTGCCTTGTCAATCCTCATAGGCTGGGAATCGTGGGATAGCCTGGAAAGAAGCAGCTGCTGAACGTGTGGTAAACTGACCGGGGCACTTTAGAGAGACGACTGCATTTACACATCTGAAAACAAGATATTGATTTTCTCTACAAAGCTGGAGAGAAATAGTCATCCTGAAAATATATCTAGATCAGGGTTTATTTGCAAAACGGCGGCACTTTCTGGCAGTTCTGAGAGCTGGGAGCCTCGTGACGGGGCTTGCAAATCTAAAAATAGTCTGCATAAACTTTGCTTTTCCTCTTAGTTGATTGACTGCCTTCCTAATCCTTTTAGTGATTCATTACAAGTAAAATGTAAATGCAAGCAAGCTGGATTTGTAAACGTTAATAAAAATATTCTTCCTAGATTAGTAGATTTTTTTAAAAAGGTAAAAATATTTTTGAAGTTACATATTCCCTTTCTGTGGGCCAAACTGATCTTGAAGATACATGTGTGATATCCCTGATATCACAGGCTTTGCCCTTTCTAACAGAAGTAGAATTCACTTCTGAATGTCAGTTTTGGTTTTTACTTCCTCAGGCAGGAGGTTTTCTTTATAGCTTTCAGAGTGATAAAAATAAGAAAGTGAAACAATACTTGACATGAACAAAATGGGATGATTATTTAATTTGAATTATGAAAGATTTAAAGCAGAGATGAGCACACAGGTATAGTGATTACTATCTCAGTGAGATGCTGATGTCCTGTTCTAGGCCAGGTTATTAGAATGCTGTTACGTGGCTGTGATCAGAATTTATGACTATTATTTTGGCTCTCAGAAATCCTATTTATGACTCAGGCTCTTGTCTGCTGGGTCCATACAAGACCATGTTCACAATGTGAACCACAACACGTTGAGAAGTTCCAATTGGAATAACGTGCCTTGACAGAAAGGAAATATTTTATCTGTGTAGGTTTAAATCTGGTGCAGATCCAGATTCCCTGTAGGTGTAATGCGTTTGTTTGTTTGTTGTCCTTATCTGTGCAGCTTGAGTGACAATTACAAACATGAAGACACAAACATGAAGACCTCATGAGATGCTTTCTTGGTTTTGTCTGTCAAAAAACAGGTGCCTCAGCACTTACTAGCAGATGTCATCATTGCACCTTAGCATACAGTATGTAGGTCTTGCAAGGGCAACACACTGTAAAATAAACAACTTTATATTTTGGTACTGAATATAATCAACAGTAGTCAAAAGCCACTCCAAAACCAGGACAAAATGAAGGCATTAATTTGCCTGGGGTATTTTCAGACTATTACAGTGTTTTCCATTTGGATAGATGTGGGAAATTAGGCTCATCATTGCTTTCCAGTCTGATATTGTGATGAGTGCAATAGAGGAATTAGAATAGAATAAAATGATTTTGCCATATCTTTTTAAAGTCCAGGAAAGTATAACAACTTAGGTGTTGTTTGACTCCTAAATCTGTGAGCCATGTTGCAAGGTATTACAAGATATAATCACTTAAAATCAGGTTTCTAAGTCTGGATCTGAGAAAATTAGTAAATGCTCAGGTTTTCTGGTGTTCAGAGAAACCAGAATCCTCCTGTTGTTTGTAATGAGAATTCAGTAATTTAAAAAGTTGTTTCATTCAATCATATTGGGACTTAAGACTCTAGGTATAGGCAACTATTGTCTTAATTATTTCAGAATAACAGATCAAGGCAGATTTTGCTTTCAAAATGTGATAAAAGTTAACCTCACTGAATAAGTGCCCTCTGAGGAATTTGCAGATTTCCCACAGAAAATCAGAGGCTTCTCAAAACACAGTAATCGTGTTGTGTGATTTCCTGACATCTCTGTACTCTGGTTTAAACTAGTCATTATGAATAATGTCCTCATGAATAACCACATCTGTGAAAATGTTAGGTGAGACACTTAAAATCTGTGGTTAGAGCATCCTGACTAAGCAACAAGAAAAAAGTGCTGAATGACATCAGGCAAAGAGGAAGTTTATTATTAACTGGAACTTCACATTGTGAATAAAAATAAGAAGCTCAACATGCCGTATCTTGCATTCCTTTCCCTGTGATTTCAGTAGGAGTTTTGCATGGGATGAGCCAGAAAGGACACTCTGAAACCATGTCATGAAATACAGGAAGGGTATTTGTTTCTCCTCATTGCTCTACAATAAAATATTCCTAAAAGATGTAGTTGAATTAATTGCACAGTTAGCAAGTAGTAATGGGACAAGATGAAGTCATGACCAAAACGATACTGTTTAAGTATCTTCTTTCCCTGGTGAAATAAATTCCAAGAATTTATAAGCAAAGGAAACATTGGTGTAGTTGTACTGAACACTTTTAAGACCAGCCACAAACTCTAGACTCATTAAAATTCATGACCTGCAGAATGATATGGCTGTCAGCTCTACTCAGTTTTCATTCTGGAGGCGCATACTGTCGTGCCACTTGTCAATGGGTTAATCTTCTAAGCAATATGTCCCAGCTTATAGGATTCTCCCTTTTCCTTAAATTCTAAACAACTCCCCCAGAAGAGAATATAACGAGGGAAGATACCCCCGTATAGGCAAGGATACTCTATCTACAGATACAAGTGTTATGGATCTACCAAGTAACTGAACAATATGTATAAACTATTGGGTTGTCTTTGACCAGCCAAGTTGTCAGAGTCCTGAGAAACAGGAATATCTAGGGAGCCTGGTACCATTAGTTAGAAGATGTTTGTGACCTGCAGTACAGGCAAGATTGTTCTTACATGTAGGCAATACAGAAACAAGTAATTGCATTACAGAGAAATTATTGATTACAAGGAAGTGATTTCTGGATGAGATGATGGATCACATAAATGTAGTATTTCTAAACAAAATATCTGTGATCATTTAGATGATTTACATGTGTGTATTTGCAGGGTTATGATGACAAAAATAGCCCTCAGCAGCAGTCATCAAAACACTGCTTTAGAAGACAAGTGTCATCAAATAGTCAGCCTCAAACCTTTCCAGACACAAAGTCAACAGTAGCGTGTCATAAGCCTAATTCTATAACTATAGGATTATGAAAATCCAATATTAATTGAGCTTGATACAAATTGCTTTTTTTCTATCTTTGTTCCATAATTGCAAGCAAAGTCTTTTAAATAACTTCTCACACTTGTCAGATTGGCTTCTACCTCTCTTACATGGGCTATCACAGAGCAGTAAGAGCTAGAAGCATATGTTAATTGTTGCCAGAAATAAAGACTTCATTGCATGTACTATTGAATATCACACATCACATGATAAGTGCCATGCTTCAGAGCAGAAGAGGATGAAGAGAGAAGCAGAGACCGCTGGAGGCAGTAGTTTCAAGCAGTCGCCTGAATATGATGCTCATTTTGTATAATCCTATGGGAGTACCTCATCCAACAGTTGTTGGGTACTGTATCCGATTACATTAAGATGAAATCTGAAAAACACAGGAATGTGTTGCCTGTTTATTGAGGATAAATGCAGTTTTCACACTAAGAGAGAGTTATCAGTGCTCCCTAATATTTCTGGGCACAGTGGGTTGTGATGAGACGTCATTGAATGGGTTAATATAAAACTTCTCTTTTGTTGTTCACCTCTGGTGATTCAGCTCTTCCAGGGGAAACTGTCATTTCTTGACACCTTCAAGTGCACTAAAGGACATTTTAGGACAACAGAAGGCCAACACAGGAGTTGACAGTGTAAAGCTCTGATCCTTACACTCTTGTTACTCTTTGCCTCTGCAAAACTCCGCTGAAACCACAGTGTGGAGGAGTCAATACAGAGAACTGGGGCCCGATTGCAGATGATGTGCCATGAGGGAGGGGAATGTGAAGAAGGCTGTTTTGCCAAGAGCATGAAATCATTACTCAATATTGTTACATGTGCTATAAGTAAAGTCCGTTGAATGCTCTCTAGCACTGATGGGGAAGGGCTGCTCTATAGGCTCACTTGGTCATTACCAGCTTTTTGCCACTGGCTCCTCCATCTGGCAAATTAAAAGTTCTTTGACTTAACACAATCTCAGACATACCTGGGAAAAACAGTGGAGATGAGTTACAACACTCTCCAATTATAACTGCAGAGTGACTTGTAGCTGCCACTTTACCCTCCTTCCAGCTGGACAAATGCTTCACTCCCCTCCTGCCCTTCCTCACTGACCAGTGCAAAAAACCCTGCTGTTCAGGGTGTCCTGTTTCACTGCTGCCACTGAAGAATATCCAACTTCACCTTCCCCCTCCGCCCACTGTAAGGGGGAAGCAGGTCAGGGAGCTGCATGCCTCCTGCTCCCCGTGGGGCTGGCCCCAGATTGTTGAACTCCCGCAGCATCTCTCCATCACAACTTTTGCCACTCAAGAGGCTCAGCACACCAGCACCTTTCTATATGACCAGTAATAGGATTTCCTGATTTTGGTTCGCATTTCCAGTCTCCCAGTTTACAAAGCATGCAGCAAAGTTAAACATCAATCTGCCTTCACCTTTCAGCCCCGGTAATGTGCTACTCTGCTCTGAGTCCTGCCTTAGTAACAAGGACTCTATTACAGGAAGAATACCAATATTAAAGTAATTTTCTCAAAACATTTCCTTTTGTGCCTATGTGGTGTAGGGAAGAAGCAGGAAGTAATACCTGCATTTTCGGTCAGAATAAATGTTGTTTGAATTACTCATTCTGTAGAGTAGCTAAATTCGTGTTCCCCTAAAATTTCATATTAAAATATATGCTGATATGTATTCTTCCATTTCAAAAGATTTTTGGAATATATGAAAAGTTGTAATACAGAATAGTTGCAGTCTTACTTTGTTTCCAGTGATGTTATAGAAACTTTTACATATTTTCCCAGACTAATGATCCTTCATAGAATACAGTTTTATGAAAGATAATCTATGTGTATTGTTTTAGAGGACAGAAATAGTGATTACTCAGAGCTATCTCTGTAGAATGAAAAATAGTTCAATTTTAACTTCAAACAGTGAGGGAAATACAGTAAGTCCTGTAATGTACTCATGCTTTCTTGCCCACAGTGTTGTGCACTGGCCGTAGTCTTTCATGTAAATTTTTTGTATACATTTGGTGCAAACTAGGTGATCTTTGAAAGTGTTGGTGAAGGTGTAAGGAAGGGAGAGTTTGATTGAGAATCTCAGTTGAGTATCCTTTCATTTTAGTAAAAAGTTTGTGTCAGATTTGTTGCTTCTATGTCCTTGCTGCTGTGTTATTCCAGAAGAAGAGAAAACATGACATCTGGTTTTGCTCTTGCTATTCAGGATAACTATCTTTAAAGTTACTGATATCCTTAATCTGGTTACCACTTACCTGCTAACAGATAAGTCTCAGTGATTTAGTTAGTTAAACAATTCTCTTCCAACTGGCTTATTGTGATTTATTGACTTGTTCAGAGAAAATGTCCGGGCCAGGTGCGATGCCAAAAAGCAGTCATTTCCTAGCAGAGTTTCTGTTGTTTTTGTTGTTGTTAGTATATGGCATTTTCTTACTGTTCCACTTATTTTCACATCCATCCTTGTAAAACCTGAAGAGCAGAACAGAGCAATACACAGTGGCTGTCCACTAAGCCGTGCATGTCTGATAAGGCTCACAACAGAACTGTGAGGAAATAGCATTAAGATGGGATGCAAACCAGCCAGTCCAGAAGGGCACAGTGATGGCTCCAGCTAACAGCCAGAAAGTAGCTCAGCTATGATGGTAGACACTTTATAGCTGGTTGTGTGTAAGAGTGGTCCTTCCATTTTGTCATGGCTCCATTTGGGAGAGATGTCCAGGATCAGAAGCAGTGGTCATAGCTTGTGATAGGTTGACCTGAGTTCATTTACAAGCAGATGAGATATACCCCAGCTGTCTTTGGTGTAGAATTTATTTCTTTCCCTTACTAGCAGTTGCAGCATGATGGCTGTAGAAACACAACTGTCTTCCACTCTTGGAAGAGAGTTACATTGCACAGACATGATGAGGTGGGGAATTTGCTAGTGCAGCCCTTCTGGATTCAGAGTAGTAAATGTTTTACTCTTCCCCTGGACTGACAGTGAAGCTGGTGAAATGTAATTCTAGTTTAATGTCATCAAATGGAGCAGTATCTCTATTTCTGTGGGAAATCTGCAGAAGCATTTTGTTGTCACACCTGAGGGCAGGTCATCAGACTTCATCCCAGCAAAGCATTTATAAAAAGTTCACCAGTTCTTTTCATCCAAGATCAGGTATCTCCAGATGCAGCCAAGAGATGAATATAGAACTTCTCTTCAGCCAGACAGACCCACAGGGAAGCAGCTTCTTGACCTCACCAGTGGTGTGGAAACTAAAAAAATACAAAACATTTTCAGGTAAACTGTAAATACCTCTGTTACGGTGTATGCATTTTGCTAATGATTTTCCTGTATGAGTCAGGCTGAAATCAAAGGAAACTTAAGTTGAAGGCAATCAGAGGTAACTTTCTGTCAAATCTTGTTCTGACACATGCATTATATGCACCCAGAAATTACACTAAGCCCCAGTATTGTTACGCTGGTATAGTCAGGGACCAAACATGTCACTACAAGCATTCACGACAGCTTTTCTCCTGAAGGAAGGGCAAAAAAATGGTCTGGTGTATGAGATCTTTATATAGATGCCTTCTCTAAAGATCATATCAGCTCATCTATTTATTTAGATGACATCCCCAACTGAAATAGTGTATAAAATTGCTGCAACTGTTGTGTGTGGAAAAGGTCTCTGCATTAATTTGTCTGGTGAAAATGTATTAAAGTAGTTGGCATATATCTAATATCATCTATCTTCAGATCAAGTCTGGACATCATGCAGGAACATTGTCTTCCCCCATTCTCCAGAGACCGTGAGAAGTTTTTAAGGTCGGTTTCACTTTCTTTAGTTTACTGTTATAATGAAAAGTTACTTTTTTGCCTCCACAGCATTAGGAAACTTGGGGTCTTGCTGGCAAATACGCATCTTAAATTAGAGATTTCATCTAGATGCTTAATGCTCCTTAGACTTGGCCATCTGTGGCTTTAGACAGCATTAATCTGGTGCTGATTCCACTCAGAGGTAAGTACCAACTGCAGAAGAGCAGGACATTCACAACATCTCTTTCATAAGTTTTTCTGTACAGTCCAGAGACCACACAACCATTTCAGACATCACTGGAGAGAGCCAGTATCCTGCCTTTGCTCCTCCGCCCTGGATCTGCTCTGCTATACACTGCAGGATGGTCCATGTGGGAAGCTCAGTCATGAATCGAACCTATAGGGATCTGCTCTGACCTAGAAGAGTATTTAATGTATCTTAACTTTTTATGGTCAAAAAGTGTAGTCTAATATGGGAGTATAAGAGAAAAGCTAAAAGCAAAACTCAGTCCCCCGTCTTCCACGGGGCAAGGAATTTGTACATTGATAAGGCAAAAGAAATCCCATAAATACAGATGTTTCATCTTGCTTATTGTTCCATTGGTTGCTAAACTATGGAAAGAAAATTTCTAACCATTTTGTTAGAGGCTACTTCCTATTTCCCCAGTTAACCTTCATATTGCCTAAAATGCTAACATTTTCAATTTAATCCATTAAATATATACAAAGTGAAAATAATAAATGGAAAAACAAAGTTTTAAGCTAATTTTGGGAAATTCCTATGTAAGCTCATTTTACGAAGGACCTCTGAGCAGAAAAGCAAGTCTTTATCTTTAGTCTCTTTACATTTTTTAAACTCACAGCCTAAAGCATATTTTCTTTTCCCAACACCTCTAGAATTCAAGATGCATCTTTAACTGGTTTAATGGAGCCACAAGGCATTACATTAGACAGCTTTTTCCTAGTTCACAGAGGTCATATTGACATGTAACTCATGGTATTTCCTTGTTTTCAAGATAAGATAAAACAAAGGGGAAGTGTTCAGTTCCAGGTGAGTGGGAGAGGGCACAAGAAATGGGAAGAAGATAAGAGTGATGCAGGTGGGAATTTATCATGCAGTGTCTTTTTGCACTCAAGCTGCAATTGCGTAGGAGTCTGCCTGCTTAGAGCATCTCAGTCTTCCTATTCCTAGTTTAAGAATGCAAGCAAATTAAAGAGTGATACAGTGGAGTAATGAATGGTTGAATCAATCAATGTCTCCTTTCAAATATCGTAAGGCTATAGCAGGTTTTACTAGTACAGATGGCACGATGCTGGGGTAACTCCCAGTCACCTCTCGTTAGAATAGCAGAATAAATGCAAGCAGAAGCTACTAGTTGTTGGTTTTCAATCCCATCCTCTTAGCCGAGCAAAATAACTTCTGCAGTTGTGAAAAACTGAATTAAATTTTAATAACTGAATGCAACTTCTCTTCAGTAAATAGATTTATACATCTTCTCTCTTCAGTGCAGTGTCATACACTTCTGGTCTCTTCTACACCAGCGCACACAGCAACCTTGACTAGCAGTGAGAGGCAATAGTCCATTGCTATTTACTTCTGTGCTAGTTCAGCTAGTCAATGGTGCAAGGTTCATAAGATTCCCTTGTTCCAGTTTCCCCCTTCTCACACTGGGAACAATTGTTCTTGAGCCTTTTGTGCAGCTCATGTAGAGGTGAAAATGTTCTGTCAATCTTTTTCTTAGGATTTTTTAGTCAACTCATGGCTGTAAGGGACAAGCTGGTCAATAGCATGCACACTGAAGATGATTCCTAGAGGGGTTTAGAGTGGCTAGCTATCTTGAATATGAGCTTTATTTTTTCTTCCAGACTGAGGGTCTTCTCTTCAGCTAGTGTCATAGATTTGAAGGTCAACAGGGATGATTGTGGTCTTCTGACCTAAACTCCTGAATAACCGAAGCAGTGGGACTCCTCTATGAATTGTTGCTGCAAGGTCAGTACTTGCGCTTCAACTGGAATATCTTTACAGAACCATCCGTGCACAGTAAAGAAAAATGTCAGATTCTCTGCACTTACTCTATTCTGCTACTAGCTCAACTTTGGAGTGTAGGGGCTATGAGTGAGTCAGATTTTTTTTTCTGGAAGGAGTTAAATAGACTGAGCTCTTGGAGTCTTTCACCACAAAGCATGTTTTCCTGTCTTTTACTCATTCGTGTGCCTCTTCTCTGGACTCTTGGATTCTCCAGTATATTTTTTTAATTGCCAGAGCTGTGCACAGATTTCAGAAACACTAGTACCAATAGCAGGTAAAAAGGCAATATAACCTGCTGCTTCTTGAGATTCTGCGGCTTATATATCCCAAGATTACACCGGTCGCCTTTGTTACTTTATTGTGCAGGAGACTAGTTTTCATCCACAACCCCACAGATTTTTTCAAAGTAGGTGGTCCCCCATATAGATTCCTTAGCCTGTTATTGTGGCTGCATACTTCATTTCCAGGTTTGTGATTTTCTATTTGACTCTACTGGAATGTCTATTTGCTCACTGTGCATAATTTACCAAAGCATCCAGCTTACTTTGTGTTACTGTTCTAGTCTTCTTCAATTAACATTCCCCCAGTCTGCATTCTTTATCAGTAAAGTTTTTATATTTTTTTCCCCAAGTCATTGACAGAAATGTTAAGTATCAGAGAACAGACCCTTAGGGACTGCACTTGAAACAGCTGTTGAACACAATTCCAGTTATAATTACATGTGGAAACCTACTATTTAACCAGCTTTTAATCTATTATGCATAATTTTAGGTTTTTATTGGTCTGGTTTATTAATCAAGATGTCACTCATAAAACTTCACAGAAATACAAACACTTTGCATCAGCCACTGTCACACAAACTTTTGGGTTTGAGTTAGTCTGTCAGCATAAGTTGTAGGTAAATCAATGCTGATTAGCTTTGGGCTGATGCCTTCCTTGTTACTGCTCTCTGTCTTTAGTAGGTGCTGGTGTCTGGCTCTGCTGGGGAGATGGCTCTTAGCAAGTGAGAGGTTCAGCTCCCGAAGTTCACAGAAAGGTCCAAAGTTGGAGATGGATGGTGTTCGTGGCTCACCATGAGCACTAAGGCAAAGTGCAACTCCTTTGTTGCTGCTGCAGTATTTCGTACTTGTTTGTTTGGACACCATATGGTTTAATATTTCCACACATAGCTGATGAAATTCTCAAAATCACATCATTACAACCTGTTCCACTTTCTTTACCCGTGGATTATTTTTAAATAGGTAAAATAGCTAAAATAAAGATCGTGCAGATAAACAGTGTGATTTTTTTTTTTTTTTAGATCTAATCATCATATAATTCAAGAAAATAATATTACTTTATGATATGGTAATAGCTAATGTTGAAATCTGTTACTGTCTACAGGTAAAACACCTGTATTACTTTAATGCAGCACAATTATTTCTGTGTTGTTAGATTATATCTAAGTAGATATCTGGACTAGCTTTTGTTAAAAAAAGCAGAAATCTGTGATGAATAATACCATGTGTATATTGCTTTGTTGTGTCTCATTTCCCGTATAAAATAAATAGTAAATTACTTTCAAAATCTCATGAAAAATGTTTCTTCTCAAAAAACATATCTCAAAAAAACATATCACTGAGTTTAAATAAAAGGGGAAAATGATCTTAGGTGGCAATTAATGTGACCTCCCCCAAATTTTTTCATCATCCAATTAATATTTTACTAAAGCATCTAATTTAGATACAAAAAATGCTACAGTAAAGTCATGCTGACTTGTAAATTGTTACTCTGTGAATGATCCGCTGTTGTTTCAATTATAGTGCTTCAATATTTGCAAATGCATAAGACCATGGCTAATAATTCTTCAACACAGAGATGCGATGCATGACCTGTCTACATGATTTTGCAAAATGGAACACTGCATAAATGATACAAAGAAATTATCTGTACTATTTATTCCATGTAAATCTTAAGCATAATATTCTAGATTTATAAAAAGTTAAGTATCTTATTGAAAACAATTTTTATAAGGGTCTTGTACATTTATACCAAGTGAAAAAGTCACCAGCATATTCTTCAGTTTTTTTACTAAATCAGTTCACTTTCTGAAAAGCCATGTTTCTTCTTTGCATCTTTAAGTCAATGGTCACCCTCTATCGTATCACTGTGATGGAAGCATGCTCATGGAATTTGACTCCGAGCATTAAGGGTTAAGCTTTTTGAAAAGTGCATTAAGTTTCCCAGAGGGTGAGTCATCTTGCAGTGCATTGGATCGAGGTGCATCAGTCATGTAGCTTTATGTCTTGGAGTCATAAAGTCACCTAATCAGATATGACTGACACTATTTGACATGACAAGTCACCCAGGAAAGTGCAAGAAAACAAAAAACATGTTTTTCTGAAAATTCTGGTTAAAGCTGATGTCTTTTCCCATGTTTTGTTTCACATTGCACTGAGGACCATATGTTTTGTAATGGGTAGGGGGAGGGAAAAAAAAAGATTTTCTGTAGAAAGAATACAAGCTATTGTAATCTGGGCACAATAAAACTTAGACAAAAAGTGTTCCTGCAGTCTTTTCACAGTGGAAGCCTTTGGGAACATTATTTCTCTTTAGATATGAGAGGCTGAAGAGGTACAAGACTCTTCACATAGCAAGTGTTTCTGTAAAGTAGGGACAAACTCATATGCACACAAGGGCCTTTGACAAGGTCTGCAGAAGAAACTAGACACCTACATTATTTTATATGGCAGCACATCATACATGTTGAAGATTTCTTCTACCTGAAAGTACTCACACAAGACAGCTCTGGCACAAGAATACTGAAAAATATAACCCCAGGAGTTTCAGACCTAAGGAAATAGGCTCCTCTTACAGGAGAGTTGTTTTCTTTACTTCTGGCTGAGTACCATGGTTGGGATATGATACACAAAATTTTCACAGGGCTTCTAAAATTATTCTCAGGATGAAATGCAGCCTTCTTCCACTACTGCTTTGCTTGAGCATCTACGTGCACACGCTGTTGCACAGAAACCACTGTAAATCCTTGTACCTATGCGTATACTAAGTGTGCTTTTCAGTTCTTCTGCAGGTTTATGCTAAGAAGAATTCAGCTACAGATTGGTTTTTCAATAGTGTTCTCTTTTT